AATCTAGATTTAAGTTCAACAAATCACTTTTTAAAAAAGGCAGAAATAAAAGTAAACTTTTTATATTGCCAGGTAAGGCCCACTGAGCTGTATAGTTCTTTTTTTCAGAAGCGACCTGCCTATCACAAATGATGGCTCAACGAAGTGGCTTATCATGATCATCGTGTGGAAATTCATAGTAGCGGCCAAATAATTCTAAATGCGGTCGAGAGTTTATGCTTGTCCTGAAGCAATGCTGCTGGAATTGTGCTCTTGGAGAAGGAGAGAATACGTTTACCTTTGTACGTGGGGAGGCACAGATGCAGGAAGGTTCAGCAGTTCTACTGCTGGATTATATATTTTCCGCCTGAAGACGACCGCGTGTGTTGCAATCGAAACGTCGTGATTTATTTTATTTTATACCTACGTGACTTTACCAAAAGAACCAAAGAGTATGGGAGATATGTCGTTTGCTAATCTGGTTTCGTATCAGTACCCACGCACACCTACGTGCCAAACACGTGACGGTTTCGTTTCGTTTATGTAAACATTAAAATTACAATACACTCCACGGAGTTTATTCAAAATCGACGGCTTTCGATTCTATTCGCTTTCAAATTATATATTTTTTGCAAGGCAACCTTCATCACCCACGTGCATTCCTCCTTAGAGAGGCAATTATGACATTTTAAAATCTTACTTAAACCTACTTGGCATTTATGTTTCAAACACCTATTTAATAATAATGACTCTTAAAAGGGCATGCCTGTTTTGACGAAGACTCATATTCCTGTGTAACCTTTAACAGGCTATGGGACATGTTTTTGGCAGGATCCAATTTTTTTTAAAGGGATAGGATTTCAACCTTTGTGGGCATCAAACAGGAGTTGTGTTGATGTTCAAACACTTAAAAGGTAGAACGGCCCATGGCATCGTTAAGTCTGCATTCACCACACGTACTTTCTGGGCTTGTCTAGAGAGACAAGGCCATCAAGAAGGCTGTCTCTGGTGTAGAATAATCAGTTTCAAATCAGTTTGGGGTGCCACGGTGGCTAGAAGATGTTAACTACCTCACCTGGAATGCAGGAGGTTGGGGGTTCGATCCCTGTGGTCGCGTAGATTTTTCTCCAGGTCCTCTGGTGTTTCCCCTCCAAATTTTGAAACGTGCGTTTACGAGTATTTGGCTGCTAGAAATTTCTCCGTGATCAGCCACTTTGTTGAGCTTCCATTTGTGGCCAGGTCACTTATGAAAAAGGGCTACCATAGCCTTACCTGGTAAAATAAAAAGTGTCGTTTAGTTTAAAGAAAATGTGTGTATTGTCAGAGCTTGTTTGTTTGCATGTTTTGCAACAAATATGAGTGGTTAATGCAGACCTGATGCCTGTGACGAGGCAACTATTTGGTGTTTGAACATCTGAACACTTCCTCTTTCATTGCCAGAAAGGAGGAAAGCGAATTCTTCCTTAAACAGGCTGTTGGGGCCAGGGCTGTTTAGCGAGCACCTTTGAAGTGGCTGGGTGGGTGACAAGCACCACGCTCGGCCACCTTTGTCTCCCCAGTGGCGATGTTTTACTACTCACGGCATAAAGTACTTATTTGAGGTTGAGTCGACCTTGCGGGAAGCCCCAGGACCGGTTCAGATAATCCTCAGTGGCATTGGTCCTGAGCGCGAATCAAACTCGTGTGACTGGGTTCCTAGTGTAGTGCAGCAGCTGCCGTGCCACCACTGCTCCAATGATGAAGAATCCCCGTATCGCCTTAACAGACTGATGGGCCATTTCTGTTTACGAGCACCATATGAAGGCCGGCACGGCACACGAGGGGGTGGGTGTGGCCAGCACCACGCCCGGCCGCCTTTGTCTCCCCTGTGGCGATGCTATACACATGGCACCAAGTACTCATTTTGAGGCCGAGTCGAACTAGGGGAGTCCCGCAACCAGTTCAGTAAATCATTACTGCCATTGACCCGAACTCAGGGCCGCCGCAAGACGATAATTGTCAGTACAGGACCACTCCCCACACGCACACACGCACACGAGCATGTGCACGTGTGCGTGTGATCGTGCCCAGAGTGTGACAATGGTACCAACAGGTATGTAATACCCACACCGATACAATAGACAATGCGCACCTTGACGAATCGCTTGAACTTGACCAGGAGGCAAATGCAAACTGATCCGAGCCAGTGCACTTTGTCCTTAACCACCCTCCCTCTTCCTACTTACCTTTCCCATACTTTACATTTCTATTGTGTTGAGTTATCATTTGTGGTCAGGTCGCTTAAAAAAATCAGTAAGCAAATAGCTCCGTGGCCTTTATCTGGTAATATACAAACATCGTTTGGTTTTATCTGTATCTTTTTCAGTGGTTTATTTACCTTTCCTACACTTTGCACTCATATCGTGTTTGTGTATTGCAAGGCCGTAGCCATGGAGTTAACATTGGGGGGTGTCTGGGGGTTCCAACCCAGAAAAAAAATATCTAAATTTTAAAACTTATTTCCTGCCTAAAATGTGACAAAAATCACTAATACATGGGACGGACTTTTTTATTTATTTACAATAATGTCTAATATTGTATTGTATTGCATTGCTCTGTTTTTACTTTTTTTCCATTTCTTGTTTCTGTGTGTGTGTGTCATTTATTAAGCCATCTTTTCATCCGTAGACACAGATGCCCGCCCCCCCGCCCCCCCTTCAATAAAGCTCTCTGGCGATGAGTCATTTCCCCCGCTCGGGGGTGTTACATTCTTTTTCTATCCTGTGCTGTGGGAAGACAAAGACGGTTGGGAAGCTCTTTTCCTATGGAACACAGTTTATCTCGCTTGTGTAAGTTTGACCTCTTTCGGCTCATCTCTTCTGGACAACCGTCGGTTTAATACTGCACAAATATTATTTGGTTTATGTTTCTTAAGATTTGCGATTTAACATTGTCATCACCACGTATTTTTTTTAGGGTTTATTAATTTCGTCCCCCCGTCTCTATCCGGGGATCGGTGTTTTTTTATTCTCGAGGTCAGAGATATAGCTTAGTTTGGACTTAAGTTTTCGTGATTGCAGGAACTCATGTACTTTGGTTATTTTCGTAAAGTTACATAGATAGAAATATACAATAAGAAACAATATATGAGTTGAATAAGGGTGAAATAATATAAGTAATAATAAAGCCACTAATATAGACTGCAGTCTATCATGTCGACTTATTCTTATAGCCAAGCTTCAACTTTTTCCATAAAAAAAATCTCAGTTATAATGTCCGTTTGCCCTGTGCTCTGTGTCTGTGATTCTGGATATGTGTTTGTGAACTGTCCGTTGGCAATCTGGAGATTTCGATTTAAAGCTTTCGTGACTGCAAGGATTAATCTTCTTTGGTTCTTTCGGTAAAGTCACGTAGAATGAGAATAAAATAATAAATTGATAAAATAAAATAACACAATAATATTCTCTCTGATGAAGGCCGCTTGTGTTGTGGCCGAAACGTCGTGAGAATATTATTGTGTTATTTTATTTTATCAATTTATTATTTTATTCTCATTCTACGTGACTTTACCGAAAGAACCAAAGAAGATGAATCTGGAGATTGTATTATGTAATGGCCTTTTACGACCTCCAGCTGCTTGGTGCTTGTGGGAGGTAGCGGGTTTGAGGGCGTTTTATTTATTTATTGTATCGATTATCATTATTATAACATAAAAAATGGCAGAATTATTTTTAATATAAATTTTTGGAAAAAGGCCTATATATAAAACAGCTCTCATTTCTGATAGGCCAGGTCGTTTCTGAAAAAAGAGCTACATCGGTCAGTGGGGCCTTACATGGTAAAATAACAAAAATCTTTGTAGTTTTTAGAATTTAAAAAGAGTATAATGCAGATCGGGGACTTTGTAAGGAGATAAAACCCGTGTCTCATCTGCTGCCGCTGCTGCTACACAAAAGCAATTGATAGCTTCTTCCTCTTAACCTCTTGAAGAGCCGCACTTCTCAACCCCCACATGGCACGTGCTCTCGAGCTCACGCCATCTTCACAGTGACGCTGGGACTGCGTGGGAGGGTGGGTCGGTGAGTGGGTGGGTGGGAACTCGTTTGATCTCACGGAGAACAAGCACATCACGTGCAGCCAAATTCTGCATGAGGAATATTCCTACATGTTGAGTGGAGATGATACCACGAAGAAAGTTAAAACGAAACTAAAAACTGTACTATTTTTTATTTTATCACGTAAGGCTGACTACTCAGCTATGTAGCTATTTTTCAGAAGCCACCTGGCCATCACAAATGATAACTCAACGAAGTAGTTTGGCATAACGTGCTAATTTATAATGGCCAAATGCTCTAAATGCATGTTTCTAATGGTGGAGGGAAAATACAAGAGGGCTCAGAGAAAAAAAATCTACACGACCACGGAGAGAGAGACATGCAAACTCCAAATATACAGGCTTTGGTGCTGGGCTCGAACCCACACCCTCCTGCATACCGGACTGAGGGAGATAACATCTCGCCACTGCAGCACCCAACTGCAAAATACCCGGGTGATGGTGGCTTGCGGCTGACGGCCGTCTGCTGCCATACCATACCAAGGCAAACAATGAGAGAGGTGGGCGAGGGGACTCGTTCAGCTATTATTCTATCATTACATCTACAGGACCTTTTGCCAGTATGAAAACAAGTATAGTTTGACCCTTTCTGGTAATAAAAGAGGTGTTAAGATTATCAGACACGATATAGATACATTCTGCAAGGCATCAAGTCTACATTAACCGCACAGTACTTGCCCAACACGGCATTTCCCAGGAACGTAACCGCAGCGTTCGGCAATTCTGCCTGTAATCACAGGCAGATTGTCAACTGGGATCTCAGCAGTGTAGGCTCAGCCCTATAACCCCTGAGCCACCGTCCTCTTAAACAACAATGATGATGATTTTGATGATGACAAATAATGACGAAAAACGATGCTTACCTTGGCCCCCTCAACCCAGTCCTGCTTTAATCGACGTTCCACTGTGATTAACCTGTGTCCTACAGCTGCAGCGCTAAACAGTACCCATCGGAGCTGCCGGGCCTCAGTGTCATTCTCATCTTCTACAACGAGGCCGTCTCCATCCTGCTGCGTGCCGTCACCTCGGCCGTGCGCAACACGCCACGCCACCTCCTCAACGAGGTCATCCTCGTCGACGACTGCAGCGACTTTGGTAAGAGCTGCAGGTCTGCCACCTTCTCCATCTCCTCCACCTCCTCTTGTACCTCCTCCTCTTCTGCCACCTCCTAAACCACCTCTACTTCCTCATCCTCCATTTCCTCTTCTGCCTCCACCTCCTCTACCCCCACCTCCTCTGCCACAAAGAAAACCCAGAGACGGATCTCTCTTTCTCTCTGTCAACCCGGGTCTATCAAACCTGTGCAGTTTCTCGCAATATTTTCAATACATTTGTGCCGGTTCTCAACCGCAAATCAATTCCTGCCACCCAAGCACAGATGCCGTTTACCGAATTGGTGGCAACCAGAGAGAAATTCCCTTCCCTCGATAGTCAAGAGGAGGTGGCCGGGTAGTTGAGGGGTTAGGAATAGACTTGGGCCTAGAGTAGGCTCAGGAAATTGACATGGGCCTAGTGTAGGTTTAGGAAATAGAGATTTGAAGCTTTCGTGACTGCAAAGATCCATACTCTTTGGTTCTATTCGGTAAAGTCACGTAGGTACAAAAAAATTAAAACAACAAAAATCACGACGTTTCAGCCACAACACAAGCGGCCTTCATCAGGTGAAGGGACCAGACTGTCTCGAAGACAGCGCTGGAGTGAAACACAGCCAAGCTCAGACCGCGACCTTTAAGCTGTGTGAGAGGCATTTAAGTGCCTTGACAAAGGAATTAGCATAAAAAAATAGCATTTACTTGGCCGACTTAGCATGATGAACGGTGTAGAGGTGGTGTACATGCGGGTGAACATGCCGGTTGGCGAGGGGGGGAGGGGGAGTTTACCTATTGATGGTAAGTTTACCTATTGATGGTAAACTCCCCCTCCCCCCCTCGCCAACCGGCATGTTCACCCGCATGTACACCACTTCTACACCATTCATCATGCTAAGTCGGCCAATTAAATGCTAATTTTTATGCTAATTCCTTTGTCAAGGCACCTAAATGCCTCTCACACAGCTTAAAGGTCGCGGTCTGAGCTTGGCTGTGTTTCACTCCAGCGCTGTCTTCGAGACAGTCTGGTCCCTTCACCTGATGAAGGCCACTTGTGTTGTGGCCGAAACGTCATGATTTTTGTTGTTTTAATTTTTTTTACCTACGTGACTTTACCGAATAGAACCAAAGAGTTAGGAAATAGACTTGGGTCGAGAGTCGGGTTAGAAAATAGACTTGGTACTAGAGTAGGGTTAGGAAATAGCATTTGGCTCAGAGGTAGGGCTACAGGTAAGGATGAAGTTAGGAACAGTTATGATTAGAGATTGGTTCAGGTTGGGTTAGATATAAGAAATGGGATTAGGGTAGAACTAGGGTTTGAGAGTTGGGGAATAGATTTCGGATTTTTGTTGCTCAGCCTCATTTCAAGAGCCCTGACCACAGCCATGGCACTCCTGGCCTCGTTTATTGCCACTCCTCTCTCCCCCTGTTCCCCCGGTCCCCCCCCCCCCCCGGCTCCACGGTCCTGTGCCTCCGTGCCGCCCCCCGCTCATACTCACAGCTGACCTGAAGGAATCATTCGACGTGCAGATCGAAGAGCTGGACGATAAGTACCCGGAGGTGTCCATCCGCCTCGTCCGGCACGCATCCCACAGGGGTCCGAGCGCGTCGCGCGTCACCGGCATTCGGGCGGCCAAGGGGCCCGTAGTGGCCATTATGGATGCCCACGTGGAGTTCCCTGTCGGCTGGTGAGTCCCAAACTCTCTGTCCTGTAGAAACTCGGCCCATTTCTACTTCTGGGCCTTTGCACCGTTGACTGGGACCAGGGGTACTGGCAGCCGCTGGATTTTTAAACCCTGACCCTCTGACCACAAGCGGCGAGTAAGCTCACAACATAGGGCCTCGCATTATGAGGGGCCTTTAAATACTAAAAAAAAGCATATTTACGAAGTTTCAAGTTTCATCTAATCAGTTGATAAACAAAGAAGATTGGGAAAAAAGACTCTCCAAAACGCTTATTTTCGTTCTGATATGACGAAATTATATCGACAGTAAATGGCCTTTTAAGCATGCTATGCCATAGGGCCCCAGCAATGTCATATTCCGGTCCTGGTGCCGGTGCTGGGCCCTGGCGGCACTGCCATGAAAGCGCCGGGTCCCTTCACCCCTTGGTCGGTTGGGGAAAAACGTTGAACTATAGAGCGGCAACGATCGATCTCTCCCCCCCACCCCCTCCCTGCAGGGCTGAGCCGATCCTGGCGCGGATCCAGGAAGACCGCCGTGTGGTCATCTCCACGGTGTTTGACAACACACACTATGACACGTTCGTCGTAAACCGCTACGAGTCGCAGGCACAGACGTTCACCTGGCAGCTGTGGTGCACCTACAAGGAGCCTCCCCTCGACTGGATCACCAACAATGACCCCACGGCCCCCATCAGGTACTCCCCGGGGGAAAGGGATGAGAGGGGGTCTCACCTTTCTTACAGCTGCCAAATTTATTGGGAGGCTCAACAATGACACTAGCCCGCCGACGTTTGGAAAGTCATGTCCACAAGGCCAGAGAATTTGAAACCAGGACAAAATCTTGTAATATTTTATTTTTTGCAAATGCCTGAGAACACCTCTAGGGCAGAATTCATCATAGGCACCTTTTAGTATCTGGAGCTTTAGTTGTGCTGCATAATGGGTGACACTAATCGCCGGTGGTGGTAACCGTGCCAAGACTTGGGGTAAGATCTTCTTGTTCACAAGTGTCAGGACGGCATAGTGGTCGCACTCTGTGCCTCGCAAAAAGAATAGCCTCGGTTTGGTTTCCAACTTGGGCACCTTTACTTTGTGGAGTTTAAATTTTAATTTAAAGCTTTCATGACTGCAGGGATTCATATGAGTGGAGTTTGTTCTGCAATGCGTTTGGTTCCAGATTCTCCGGCTTCCTCCTCCTATAGCTAGAAGAGAGCCATACAGTGAAACTGGTATTAGCTATAACCAAATCCCCAAAGTTAGAAAAATGACCTGCAAATCAACTCAATCAGAATCACACACAGCAGCGTAGAAGCAACATCACCTCCTCCTATTGTGAAAACTTAGCAGGAACCTCCTGAAAATAAAATTGAGTCGGTGATCATTTCCTGCACAAAGAAACCTAGTAGTCATAATAATAATAATATGATAGCTTAATCTCTATGATTGTTTACATTCCAGTAATGTGACATATATATCTTCTTATCGCCTTACATCAGGACATATTTTTTTTAACGACCACAATTCTCCAAACGTTCAGTGTGCAGACACGTGATCTTGAGCTGTTGGGATTGTTAGGGGGGGGGGGGGAAGTGTTTTTGCAACGTTTGCACAACAACAATTTATCATCACAAATCGAGGGTGCCCCGACCAGGATGACTGTTCACACTTTGACCCCCATTCTCCAGGAGCCCGATTGTGATGGGCTGCATAGCGGCCAGCAAGAGCTACCTGGAGGAAATCGGGTTTCTGGATGAAGGCATGCAGGTGTATGGAGGGGAGAACGTGGAGCTGGGCCTCAGGGTGAGGACGCAGAGACACAACCTTGAACGCACCCACCCACCAACTCCCTCATGCATGTGCCATATATACATAGACAGGCATGGGTGTTTTGAGTTCACTGTGCTGCCCCCGCCTGCCTTGTTCAGAGTGGACGGTGAGAGTGGCCGGGCTATTGGTGACCAGCCCCACCTCACCCCTCCATTCCCCCCACCCCGTGTCCAGGTGTGGCAGTGCGGGGGCCGCGTGGAGGTGCTGCCCTGCTCACGCTTGGCTCACATCGAGCGCTACTTCAAGCCGTACGCCCCGGACCTGAGCATCCACATGCGCAGGAATGCGCTGCGCGTGGCCGAGATCTGGATGGACGACTACAAGAGGAACGTCTACCTGGCCTGGAACGTGCCCATGAATGTACGGCATGTGGTTTATTGTTTTCCGTTAGGTGCGTGTGCGGTTCAAGTGTCAAAGTGTATGTTGCACGGCCAGGATGAGTCTCGTTTAAACTAAAAACTATAAACTATTTATTTTTATTTTCCCAGGTAAGGGCCCACTGAGCTTGGTAGCTTTTTTTCCAGAAGCGACCTGGCCATCACAAATGATAGCTGAACGAAGTGGCTTATCACCACGTGAAAATGCATAGCAACCAAATACTCCAAATGCATGCTTCTAAATGTGAAAGGGAAAAAAACATGAGCCACGGGGAGAGAGAATATGCAAACTCCAAATATACAACAGACATCAGGGTCGGGATCGAATTCACGACCTCCTGTATACCATCCATAATGCAGGTTTTTTTAGGTTAGATCGCATAAATATATAAATGTATCATTAAACCCTCCTCCACCCGACACAGCCAATTATCCTGTATACCAGGCGAGGTAGTTAACATCTCACCACCGTGGCGCCCTCAATAAACTCACTTTAAATTTACAACGGGGGGAGGGGGCGAGGTTATGTGTGGCCCAATGTTTGTTGTCCCTAGCCATAGTTGCTACACCAGGAGAGAGTGAGAGTCCTTCACTGTCCACGCGTGCATTCGGTATCCGCATCTTCTGACCGGATGTTTGTTTGTTGGGCACGTTGCTAATATCCCACAGATTTGCGCCTTTTGGAATGAATCGGGGGCCATCGTGTGCCGCCATCACGGTCCAAATTTGAACACTTACAGTGCATATTACTTGACTAACTTGTTTGTCTGTCCTAGGACGGAAGACCCAAAGAATATTTACGAAAAAATTGAGCAGATTATAATTGTATCTTGTGTAAATTTAATGGCAGTGAATCTTGCAAAAGAATGTCATCAAACACTTCACTTCATTTCACTATAGCACTGTATTAATGGCAGTGATTCTTGCACTAAATAATGTCATCAAACACCTCACTTAATGTCACTGTAGCACTGTATTTAACTGATCTTCAATTTGTTCAAATTCACTGCTCTGATACTTTATTCTCTTCTGCTTTCGGTCACTGTGGTGAAATAAATTGGAATTCGATAAAATATCTGGAAAATCACCGAGAAATGTCTAATTAGACTTACCTTTTGTCTCAAGTGCTGAATAAATAAATAAAGACACCAAATCCACTTTGTTTCTGCGTAGAATAATTGATTAGATTCACTTTCAATAAAGAAACGTGAAACTTAAAGCGAATTTGCAAAAAAAAATATTTCCGCTCGACCTTCTGCGTGAGTGTAAAATCCACCCGTCACGCGCGTTACACACGAACATACATTATTGGTTCATTATAGTAGTAATTAAGATTATACACAAACAGCAGCTGCAGCAGCAGCAGCAGAAACATCAGCAACATCGCCACCCCCTATTGTGAAATCACCGTAGGCTGTGTCTGTTAAACACAGCAGCAGTGCCTTGCCGCGTGATGATAGCCATGTGCCACATAGGGACAGCTGCCACTGGGGGTGCCCCTAGGCTAGACCATACAGAAGCAGCAAAAACATCGCTCCCCCTTCAGTGAAACCACTTCAGGCTGTGACTGTGAAACACAGCGGAGGTGCCTTCCTGCATGACGATTGCCCTTCGCTTTTAGAAGGATGGCAACGTTAGCAAACGCACCCAAACCATTGATATTGATATTGTGAAACCATAACGAATGCACAAAACCAATATTATTGATGTTGTAAAACCGTAGCAAACACACAAAACCATTGTTATTGATCAGTTTAAGACCTAGGCTTTCGCGACCAATATTGTTCATAATAAAGGTTTTTGGGTGAGATGGCGTCAGTATAAACGTGTCATAACCCTCCACCACCCAACACAGCCAGTAAAGTTGTGACGTAAACAATGCGCCAATTAGTTACTAGTATATAGTAGTGTATAGTAGTGTATAGTGTAGTGTATAGTGTAGTTTACTGCTTCAGCCCACCGGTGTGTTGGAGAGTAAATTTTCAACATTTACAATTTGAATACGGCGCTTAGCTGGTAATTACATCCAGCATCATCAGGCGATTTGCCAGAATAGTGAAGCAATCCACCTGCTTCAGGTCTTAAATACAGCGAGATGACATCATCACTGAACCCATCAGGCACAGAGATCAGAGCCAGAGGAGTGGCGGTTATTGTAATTATAGTTAGTAATCAGTTAATTAGTATGCGTTTTCTCTGTTAAGATGTATTACTTAATAATACGCTTCCAGGCCACACTAAGCCTGTAGCTTTCAGAGCAGTTAAAATAATTAGTATTTCTCCCAATTTCAATGGATTCTCGAATTAGTCTGGGCCAATAATGATTAACTTTTCACAACACTTCAACGTTATCATCGTAACATATTGGCGCGTTGTTTACGTGACAAACCTTACTGGCTGTGTCGGGTGGTGAAGGGTTACAATACAATCTTACGCGATCTCACCCAAAAATCTTTATTATGAACATTGTTAATGATGTTGTGAAACCGTAGCAAATACACAAAACCATTGCTATTGATGTTGTTAAACCAACGTGGTGACCGGACCCTGCTCGCTTCCCTCATAACCCCTCCTCTGCATTGACGACCTCTGCGCAGGGATCCGGGATCGACATCGGCGACATCTCGGAGCGCATGGCTCTGCGCAAGCGGCTCAACTGCAAGAGCTTCGCGTGGTACCTGGAGAACGTGCTGCCCTCACTGCCACGGCACGACGACATCGTCCAGTACGGGGTGGTGAGTTCCAAATGCTTTTAGCTCTTTGTCTTTGATTTTCGGCTCTCACTTTCCAATCACATGTTGATCGCATGTTGATCACATGACAGATACGAATTAAACAGGCGGTTGTAGCGGCCCTTGCGAGCCGCTACTTGTCCTAGCCCCCCGCCCCCCCTCAGTTGGGCCCTGCATATTGCGGGAGGGGAGGTGTCCTCATGGGCAGAATGGGGAGTTTGACAGGAGGGGAGGAGCCCGATTGATTGACAGGAGAAGCCAAAGGAGAGAGATGGGCCGCATGGGGCATGATGGCCCGGCCGCGTCGTCGCCTCAAACATAAAGTTATGAGGGTGGAACAACGAGACATGTGAGGGTGGAACAACGAGACGGGTGAGAGTGGAACAACGAGACGGGTGAGAGTGGAACAACGAGACGGGTGAGAGTGGAACAAAGAGACGGGTGAGAGTGGAACAACGAGATGGGTGAGAGTGGAACAATGAGACGGGTGAGAGTGGAACGAGACGGGTGAGAGTGGAACAACCAGATGGGTGAGGGTGGAACAAAGAGACGGGTGAGAGTGGAACAACGAGACGGGTGAGAGTGGAACAACCAGATGGGTGAGGGTGGAACAACGAGACGGGTGAGAGTGGAACAACGAGACGGGTGAGAGTGGAACAACGAGACGGGTGAGAGTGGAACAACGAGACGGGTGAGAGTGGAACAACGAGACGGGTGAGAGTGGAACAACCAGATGGGTGAGAGTGGAACAACGAGACAGGTGAGAGTGGAACAACGAGACGGGTGAGAGTGGAACGAGACGGGTGAGAGTGGAACAACGAGATGGGTGAAAGTGGAACAAAGAGACGGGTGAGAGTGGAACAACGAGACGGGTGAGAGTGGAACAACCAGATGGGTGAGGGTGGAACAACGAGACGGGTGAGAGTGGAACAACGAGACGGGTGAGAGTGGAACAACGAGACAGGTGAGAGTGGAACAACGAGACGGGTGAAAGTGGAACGAGACGGGTGAAAGTGGAACAACGAGATGGGTGAGAGTGGAACAACGAGATGGGTGAGAGTAGAACAATGAGACGGGTGAGAGTGGAATAACGAGATGGGTGAGAGTGGAACAACGAGACAGGTGAGAGTGGAACAACGAGACGGGTGAGAGTGGAACAACCAGATGGGTGAGGGTGGAACAACGAGATGGGTGAGACGGGTGAGAGTGGAACAACGAGATGGGTGAGAGTGGAACAACGAGACGGGTGAGCGTGGAACAACGAGACGGGTGAGAGTGGAACAACGAGATGGGTGAGAGTGGAACAACGAGACAGGTGAGAGTGGAACAACGAGACGGGTGAGAGTGGAACAACCAGATGGGTGAGGGTGGAACAACTAGACAGGTGAGAGTGGAACAACGAGACGGGTGAGACGGGTGAGAGTGGAACAACGAGATGGGTGAGAGTGGAACAACGAGACGGGTGAGAGTGGAACAACGAGACGGGTGAGAGTGGAACAACGAGATTGGTGAGAGTGGAACAACGAGACGGGTGAGGGTGGAACAAAGAGACGGGTGAGAGTGGAACAAACAGACGGGTGAGAGTGGAACAACGAGACGGGTGAGAGTGGAACAAAGAGATGGGTGAGAGTGGAACAACGAGACGGGTGAGAGTGGAACAAAGAGACGGGTGAGAGTGGAACAAGGAGACGGGTGAGAGTGGAACAAAGAGATGGGTGAGAGTGGAACAACGAGACGGGTGAGAGTGGAACAACGAGACGGGTGAGAGTGGAACAACGAGATGGGTGAGAGTGGAACAACGAGACGGGTGAGAGTGGAACAAAGAGACGGGTGAGAGTGGAACAAAGAGACGGGTGAGAGTGGAACAACGAGACGGGTGAGAGTGGAACAAAGAGATGGGTGAGAGTGGAACAACGAGATGGGTGAGAGTGGAACAATGAGATGGGTGAGAGTGGAACAATGAGATGGGTGAGAGTGGAACAACAAGATGGGTGAGGGTGCCACAGGGAGCAATGTCCCGGGGTGTGCACGGCTCTGCTGATCCCCCAGGAGCCGATGAGTGATAGACGGGGGAGTGTAAAGAGGTCAGTTAGGGGCGATAATGTTTTCTAATAGTTTGAAAACAGAAACGCGGGAGCAGGTCATTGTTGAATAATGCAGACGTGCACACATGAGCCATGCCTGTTCATAACGCAGGTGGTGAACGAGAAGAGGAAGGAGCTGTGCCTAGACCGCGGAAACCCAGCGCTCAACACGCCCATCCTGTACTCCTGCTACGGGTACCAGCCGCAGGTAGGCCGCCCCACCCATCAGGTGCATGCCACTCGGTTGGCTACGTGCGTGTGTGTGCGTGTGTGTACGTGGTGCATCGGCCAGTCATCACAGTCAGGCAACCCGTGGCACCTGGGTTAGTCCCGTGACCTCCTGCAAGCAGGCGTTCGACACTTCACCTGGCCTTGAAGTGCACATAGCCTGGCACAAGCACCGTGATGACATCACCGCCACTTAGTCGCGAATGGCGGTTGTTGTGTACATTGAACTTCTTTCACACCATACGTAGCCAACCATACTAATGTATGTGATTCTAAATGTGGATGGAAATGTCGGAGGACCCGGAGACAAATCCACACGACCACGTGGAGAGAGAGAGACACGCAAACGCCAAATACACAGCAGCAGGCGTCGTCAGGGTCGAGATTGAACCCACGGACCTCCTGCATACCAGACGAGGTAGTTAACATCTCCTCACCACCATGGCGCCCACATCTGCATGTGATCCACCAACCCAGGCAACCACGTGCAGCAGCAGCGTGGCCACCACCACCGTGACGATTGTTGCCGTGTCGACTTGGGGGGTCTGCACGCATTACTGCAGCGATATCCATCTGTACCTTCTTCATGGTATTAGAGTATTGCCCCCCTCGCTAATAAGCATGGGTTACCTCCAATGTGCCGAGAACACCTTCATGTATGTAGAGGATCGCAGAGCTTGGGGGGTGATTGTTGGCAGCACCGGCTTCTCACCACCACCGCGTGGCTTCTGCTGCTGCTGCCTTCCAGCTCCTCGTATGTGGTTCCTCCTCCTGGCTCTTCTGAGTCTCTGTGTGCATCTATGGGGGTCTGTGGGTCTATGGGTCTCTATGTGAGTCTACGGGTTTGTTGTGGGTCTGTGTGTCTCTATGTCAGTCTGTGGGTCTCTGTGTGGTGAGTCTGTGGGTCTTTGTGAAGTGAGTCTGTGGGTCTCCGTGTGGTGCGTCTGTGAGTCTCTGTGTGGTGAGTCTGTGGGTCTCTGCATGAATCTATGGGTCGTTGTGGTGAGTCTGTGGGTCTCTGTTGTGAGTCTATAGGTCTCTATATGAGTAGTCTGTGGGTCTCTGCGTGGGCCTGTGCCAATGATGATGCCGTGAGCTGCCTCGCGCCCGTCCCTCTGTCGGTCCAGCTGGCCGTGAGGACCTCCTCGGGCCTCGTGATGGTCGGCTTCAACGTGGAGCAGGCGAGCGCCGGTGCGGTGTGCCTGGGCACGACCGAGGACGGCGAGCGGCCGGCCCTCGTGGAGTGCTCCATGGCCATGGAACTCGGCCGCTTCCTCAGCTTCCAGGTCACTACTCTGGCACTACGGCCTCTCTGTGTCTGGTGGGGGGGGGGGGGGGGGGGTCTGTGTGTGAGTCTATGAGTCTCTTTGTGAGTAAAGTCTGTTCGTAAAGTTGATTTGTTCGTAAGTTTACCCTTACTCTGTCGATTCCAAACATGTTGTATGGCATGTACACTAAACGCGGGGAATGGATTTAAAAGTTTTAACATCTCTTGTAGATGTAGATACCACTGGTTCTTTACGTTCTGCAGATGTAGATGCCACTGGTTCTTTACGTTCTGCAGATGTAGATGCCATTGGTTCTTCACGTTCTGAAGATGTAGATGCCAGTGGTTATTCACGTTCTGCAGATGTAGATGCCACTGGTTCTTCACGTTCGCAGATGTAGATGCCACTGGTTCTTTACGTTCTGCAGATGTAGATGCCACTGGTTCTTCACGTTCTACAGATGTAGATGCCACTGGTTCTTCACGTTCTGCAGATGTAGATGAAGCTGGTTCTTCATCTTCTGCAGATGTAGATGCCACTGGTTCTTTACGTTCTGCAGATGTAGATGCCACTGGTTCTTTACGTTCTGCAGATGTAGATGCCACTGGTTCTTCACGTTCTGAAGATGTAGATCCTATTTCCCTTTAGTGCTCGTGTTTCCTCTCTACTATCTTGAAAAGGTTACCAAGAGATGTCTGCACAGTTGCTCTCTTCTTCTGTTCATAAATCAACTTGTAACAATCAATAGCGTTGTGCTCGTGAAAAGCAGAGAGAGTGTCGTAGTGAACTGCACAGCGACAACACAACAACAGATCATGTTGGCAGCCTAGGCAGAAATGCTGGGAATGTGTCTCGGTGTGTGTGTGTGTTTCGAACAAATTAACTTCCGAACAGACCTCTGGAACCTAGAGGAGTCTGGCAAAACAAGCCCCTATCTCCTCGTTGGTGCCGGACAGTAACGCTGTGGGTGAGCAGTGACATGGGGTGAGGGTCATTTTCGATTGATCATTCCCCTCAAAGTGTTTGTAGCCACAACAGCGGCCAAATGGGGGCTCTGGATGGGTGCGAGGGGCTGGTAACCACCTTCAATTTAATTATCACAAAAGCACTTTAAAAATATCAAGGTAAGCTTGTGTCAGAGTCCCCGAGGGAACAGGCGTCTATGATGTCTCTTGGCCAAACCCCATTTGGCGGAGACAGGAGACTGAATAGTTACCCTCGGGGCTCCTCCATAAACAAAAAAAGCCACTGCAGGTGGCCACGTGGAATGTTCGAACACTCACTGCGGAGGACAGGCTGCCACTCTTCTGTCGGGAGCTGGACCAGTACAGCCTGTATCTCTGCGGTATTCATGAGATCTGGTGGACCAGCTCTGGCTCCTGCCACCATGAGGGGTGGACGGTCCTCTCCTCGGGGCAGGAGACTGCCAAACAACAGGGAGTGGCTCTTCTGAACAAAAGCATGAAGGGTAAGTGGGAGCGTGGTGGTGAGATGTGGGAAGCTGTAAGCCCCAGGTTACTTTTGGCTCATCTTACCATCAACCAGAGGCAAGGAGTGGTAGTCGTGGTTGCTTATGTCCCTACCACAGATGAACATCAGTGGAGGGATGAGTCAGATGCCTTCTATGACGTCCTGTCACAGGTGCTAGCTAAAGTGGCCCCTTGGGATAGAATCAGACTGTTGGGTGACTTTAATGCCCAAGTTGGTCATGATGCTGGCACCTGGTCTGGAGTGATTGGAGGGCATGGGCCAGATCAACTCAATAACAACGGTAGGAGGCTGCAAGACTTTTGTGCAGCCCATGGGCTTATAATTACCAACACGCTGTTCCGGCATCGGCAGATCCACTCAACATCATGGATGCACACCAGGTCCAAGCAAGGACATCTGCTGGACTACATAGTGATGGAACAGTGGATGCGGCCCATGTCCTTGACACCAGGACCTACCGTAGAGCTAATCTGCCCACTGACCACTGGCTTGTCATCTGTAAGATGCGCCTGCCATTCTTCCACTCCGGTTGTGGGTGTACACCCAGGTCCCTATTCAAACCAACAGTGGCCTGGTCTCGGCAAGTTGATGAAAGTTGCAAGCAAGAATTTTATCATCGCTTGCAACTGGGATTGCCATTGTCCCCCACTTCTCCTGATGCCGAGGTGAAATGGGCGAGGTTTAGGGCTGTGGCTCATGCAGCTACAATGGCTGCTTTGGGTACATGGTCCCAACATTACCTGAGATCCTGGCTGACAGAGGTGTTCAGGCTGGCTGAGAAAAAGCGATAGGCCCACTCTCACCGCCTACAGCATCCCACGTCAGAGAATGAGAAGGCTTACCGCAACCTTCGCTGGGAGATTAGGAGAGCTGTGAGCCACTGCAATGATGGATCATGGTAGCGGGTTGCTGAGGAGATGCAGTCTGCCTCAGTAGCCCGCGATCAAAAATCACTCTTTAACTCTGTAGTGACATAGCGCTGACTGCTGTACAGCAGCTGCACTGCAGGTAGACACTTAGTGCACACGCCGTTGAGCATAGACACGGTGGGTGTGCCAGCAGGGCGGAGGTACTGGGGCAAGGTTCACGGTAGACCTCATGGGGAGGCCCCTGGAACCCTCTGGTGGGTTCGAGAAGGGAGGCACGGCTAGGGCGGAGGCAAGCCGCGCCGAGGGGAATAAAAGCAGCGGAGAGAGAGCTCTGGGCTGCCAGTTCTGGGAGTGGACTCGTCTCGTCGCCGCTGTCATTGTCACCGCATTCACGGCTGCCACCTTCGCCCAATCATTGGACGGCTGGACAGCGGTTGGCTGTACTGGTGGACGCTGTCGGTGCAACACGGACAGGGTCTTGTTTGGGTCGGGTCATACAGCAGCGTGGTCGTGAGAGAGGGAGGGGGGGGCTGGACTTGGTGGCAGTGGAAAGTAATAAAGGAAGGACGGTGCCCCCTGCGACTACCTTGTCTCCGACTGAGTGCGTGCGCCGCACGCCACCCGCACACACATAAGCCCCGCCGGGGAAGAAGAGATCTACGACACTACAACTTCATCAAAAAAGTAACTTGTAGTGCCACACTTATCACCATCATTATGGGAAAGAAAGGTGATCCAATCTCCGACCCCCAGAAACAGGTTTGCAGATTTGCTGAGCATTTCTGTGAGGACTTGTGGGAGGGGAAATCCTTCAGCCTGGAAAACATCAATGGGCAAAGTGTGGATGACCCTGCTGAGGCAGCTGTGCCTCAAATATTGGAAGAAGTAGTCAACCACTGTGAGTGGCTGACTGAGGTGCGATTTGTTCAGGAAGTACAGAAGGAAATCCAGAGTCTGGCACCAGGCAAAGCACCAGGCAGAGATGATCTCCCAAACGAAATGCTGAGGGAGGGTGTCATTTGTGCGCAGACTGCCCTATATGACATCATAACAACAGTCTAGACTACTGGATGGGTTCCGCAGGATTGGAAGAATGCTCTGGTGGTCCCCGTCTTTAAGAAGGGGGACCGCACAGACTGTAACAACTACAGGGGCATCTCCCTCTTCAGTGTACTGGGAAAGATCCTGGCAAGGAAATATTCAACATCGCCTTACCAGGCATGCTGAGGAGAACCTTACGGAGCCCCAATGTGGACAGATGCCATATTTTTTGTCCGTCTGCTTCAGCAGAGGTTTAGGGAATTTCAACAGGACCCACATCTCAGGTTTTCGACCTGGTCAAGGCCTATGATACTATCAGGAGGCCTGGGCTCTGGGTTATTCTTCGTGCTTTTGGAGTCCCTGACTCTCTGCTCACAATCATTAAGGACCTTCATGATGGTGAGCAGGCCCAGGTAAAACTACGTGCCCGTTCCCTGTTCACCTTGAGGTGTGACAGGGATATCTTCTGGCTCCCACATTATTTAACATCTATTTTGACCACATAGTTTGTGAAGCCTTCGATGGCTGTACCGGAGGAATTTCCATCTGGTACAGATACAATGGGATTCTAATCAATACCCAGGTGTGGTCAAGAGATGGCTCCCTATTGGTCAACCATGTTATGTATGGTGATGATCTGGTGAATGCTGCTCACTCAGAGGAGGAGTTGGAGGCTCTGCTGCTGAACCTGGATCGTGCAAATTAGAGGTGGGGCCTTACCATCAGCCCCACCAAAGCTATGCACCTGCCTGGGTATGTTGTATCATCAGATACTCAACCCCCATAACTCCCAATTGGTGATGGGGCAGTTGTGGACAGAGTGGAGCATTTTCCATACCTGGGCAGTGTGCTCATGACATGCTCCGGTTTGACAGCAGAGGTCTCACTTTAAATCAGTTGAGCGGCATTATCTTTTCATCGTCTGCGTAATGCTGTGTGGAAGCTACCTGGTCTGTCACTCCACACGAAGCTTCGGGTCTTCTCATCCATGGTCATGGCCTCCCTTCTCTATGCTTGTGAAACGTGGACCCCCCTAATGAAACATCTTCGCCGGTGATAAACATTTAGGCTGGCCTGCCTAGGATCAATCTTAGGTTTAACCAAGCTGGATTGTGTGAGGAGCTCACAAATCCTTGAAATATCTGGACAAAGTCCCATCAGTGAGCTCCTCCGGCAGGAGAGGCTGCATTGGCTGGGTCATGTAGCCCGCATGCCCAGCATGCCCAGCCATGGCATGCATAAACAGCTTTTGTTTGACCGGATAGAAGGGGCTAAACGGGCGTGGCACGGGCTAAAGGAGAGATGGAGTGATGTGGTACAGGAGGACGTGTAGCTGAGTGGACTTGCTGATGACTAGTAACAGCGGTGTTAAGATCTGCCTCTGTGGAGGAGGCTCGTGAAGGACGCTACTGGGCAGTTGGAGGCAGTCACCCTTAAGCAACAACGGAGGGCAGAGGAGTGACGCTCACAACATTGAGCGGAATTCCGTGTGGCTAAAACGCAGCAAGTTGGCATAGTAGGGGGCACAGGTGGTGCATCGGCCAGTCATCTCAGTCGACCCATGGCACCTGGGTCTGTTCTGTGACCTCCTGCCAGCGATCATTCGACACTTCAAGTGGCCTTAACTTGCACATAGCCTGGCACCAGCGCCGTGGTGACAACACCGCCATTTAGTGGTAAATGGCGGTTGTTGTGTGTTTTTTTTCTTTCTGTCTCTCTCTGCAAATCACAGTATCTCTCTCTGCCTCTCTCTGTGTCTCTTTCCGTATATCTCTCCACATCTCTCTTTGTCTCTCTGTCTGTGTGTGTGTGTGTGTCCAGGACGAGCAGCTGAAGACGCACGATGGAGCCAAGTGCATGGAGCTGAGCGAGGATTTGGAGGAGCATCCCGGCAGTGTTCTCCTCGTCCTGCGGCCGTGCTCCGGACAGAGGTGGAGCCTCGCGTTCTTCCACAAGACCACGTAGTCCATCACATAGTCCCTCACGTAGTTCGTCACGTCGTCCGCCATGTGCGCACACTTCCATCCCTTGCGCAGTTTCTGTTCCTCCACCATCACCCTCCCCCCACCCCTCCACCCCCCTACAATATCGATCGGCGTTTAGTACCGTTGTACCGGGCTCTCGTTTTGTTGCAATTTAAACTAAAAAAACACAGACCATCGTGAAAAGAAAAAAACCTAAACTATTCCAACTATTTTTTATTTTACCAGGTAAGGCCCCCCACACTGAGCTATGTGAACTCCTTTTTTCAAAAGTGACCTGCCCATATCACAAATTATAGCCTCAAAGAAGTGGCTTATCATCATCATCGTGTGGAGAGTTATAGCAGCAGCCAAATACCCCTATAAGTTTAGTTGATTCTAAATGTGGAAGGGAAAAACCGGAGTGGGAAAAACCGGAGTAGGACACCAGAGAAAATCCACACAACCACCACGGGGAGAGAGAGAGAGAGAGATGCACTAAATTAAAATATACAGCAGGCATCAGGGGTCGGGATAGAACCCACAACCCTCCTGCATACCACGCCTAGGTAGCTAACATCTCCGAGCCACTGTGAACGTTTAAACAACGTTCAGTCCAGAACTTCCCAGGCACGTAGTTGGTCAGAACCCCCTGTCACGCCAATTTCGAAACTCTTACGCAGTTTCTGTTCCTCCACCTCATCCTCCCCTCCAATGTCGTTCGGTGTATTGTATCTATCGGTGTATTGTACCTATCGGCGTATTGTACCTATCGGTGTATTGTACCTATCGGCGTATTGTAGCGATCGGCTTATTTTACCGATCAACTTATTGTACCAATTGGTGTATTGTACCGAATGGTGTATTGTACCGATGAACGCATTGTACCGATCGGCATATTGTACCGCGCTCGCGTTTTGTCACAATTAAAATCTTTAAAATAAAATACGAATGTGAAAAATAAGAATAGGTTTTCACCCTTTTCTGATAATGATAACATGTGAATATTGTGGGTTTACTCCAACACACAGGTGTGCTTAACTAGTAACGAATTTGCCACGTTCTCTTTACATGACAAACCTTAGTCATTGTCTGTGTCGGGTGGTGGCAGGTTTAACGACACGACACATTTATATCTATGCAATCTAACCCAAAAAAACCTCTGAATAAAACAAGAGTTGTGTTAAGATGTTGAAACACCAAATAGATAACTACTGCAAGGAATCAAGTCAACATTAACCACACATCGCCCTTGTGGTAAAAAATGCAAACAATCAAGTACTAGCTTATACAGAGTTGATGCCTTGGGAAAAAGGTATCATTCGGTGTTTGAACATCTTAACACAACTCGTGTTTCATTATTGCTAGAAAGTGGTAAAGTCTATTCTTAGTTTTCATACTTTGAACCTGGCTCGAGTAGATCCCCAGTTATTATCATTTCACCATTACGAAATCGTATATGATTTTTTTTTTGGGCTGTGAATCCTCACTTGCAAACTTTTACTCACAAACTATTTACGCAGGCGGGGGAGAAAACAATAAAGCGATTTGCCAACATAGCCCCCTCCCTTCTGGAAAACTAAACGGCCGCTCACAGGGCCCAGGGTGCCGTACAGGGACAGCTGCCGCTGGGTGGTCCCCTCGGCTCGACTGCAGCGTGGAAATGCAATGGTCGAGGTGCCATCGTAAGTGCGTTGTGCGCAGTATTAATTATTAAAGTTGCGCTTTACACACACATTTGGTTTTGTTTTCCCCTTCGGTGGGTCCTCCATGCGAGTCTATAGAGCTCCGTAGTCTATAGACCTCTATAGTGTATAGAGCTTTGGTCTCTATAGAGCTTTATATTCTATAGAGCTCTGTGCGAGTCTATAGAGCTGTGAGTCGATAGAGTCTGTGGGTCTGCGCGAGTGAGTATCCATTTGCGGGCAGGTGTCGGGGCGATTCACCTTGTATTTATTCTGAAAATAAGTCCTAGATTCCAGCTGGGTAATGGTGAAGTGGTTCATCGCACACCGCACATGAACCACAGTAACTCGCTGCTCATCTCGTCGAGGAACATACACCATCGTCTTTGTCAAGTGAACTCGGCTCATCATCCTTGCAGCAGCGGCGGCTTTTGGCTGGCCGTCGTACAAAGAGGGTTGCCGCTTTGAGATGCTACATACACTACAATATACATTACACTCTACACTGTTTTACACTACACTATATACTACACTGAAAGACACAAGAATGGGAGTCACTGGACCTGGCCAATAAGTACCTCGTTACTACCCCCACATCACAGCCCACTGGTTTTAACCTCCCCAAGGATCTGTCGTTATCCTAGCCCAAGGATCTATCGTTATCCTAGCCCAAGGATCTGTCGTTATACGGGGCTAAATAAGTTCAGCATGCCTATGTAGTGGCCTGCGCTGGCTGCTGGCGAAAAGGGGGAACTGCGGTGTACGGCAGTATTGAAGTCAGCAGGCCATGATGGACACTATAGGGGGACATCTAGGGGGACATCTAGGGGAAAGGTCACAGAGGGAGGCCCATCAGGAAGCCTCGGGAACCCACTGGTAGGTTCCAGAGAGGAGGCGTGGCCGGGGTGGAGCGAGGCCACGCTGAGAGTATAAGAGGGGCCCCTGTGAGGGACCCTGTGTCTGTTGCTGCAGTGGGATCCCCTTCGTGCTGTTCAAGATCATTGCCAACGTCACTGGCATCTTCACTCGAAATTGCGCTGCGAGATAGTTGTTGGCTGTCTCGGTTCAGCGCCGTCAGTGTTAGACGGTTAGTGTTGTGTATAAACTAGCAACAGTAATAGTGTGTACCCACGTAGTGTTTTGTATAGGCTAGCAACAGTACAGTGAGGGAAAAAAGTATTTGATCCCCTGCTGATTTTGTACGTTTGCCCACTGACAAAGAAATTATCAGTCTAATTAATTTTAATGGTAGGTTTATTTGAACGTGAGAGACTGAATAACAAGAAAATCCAGAAAAATTAATGTCAAAAATATTATAAATAGATTTGCATTTTAATGAGGGAAATAAGTATTTGACCCACTCTCAATCAGAAAGATTTCTGGCTCCCAGATGTCTTTTATACATTTAACGAGCTGAGATTAGGTGCACACTCTTAAAGGAAGTGCTCCTAATCTCAGCTTGTTACCTCTATAAAAGACACCTGTCCACAGAAGCAATCAATCAATCAGATTCCAAACTCTCCACCATGGCCAAGACCAAAGAGCTCTCCAAGGATGTCAGGGACAAGATGGTAGATTTACACAAGGCTGGAATGGGCTACATGACCATTGCCAAGCAGCTTGGTGAGAAGGTGACAACAGTTGGTGCGATTATTCGCAAATGGAAGAAACACAAAAGAACTGTCAATCTCCCTCGGCCTGGGGCTCCATGCAAGATCTCACCTCGTGGAGTTGCAATGATCATAATAACGGTGAGGAATCAGCCCAGAACTACACGGGAGGATCTTGTCAATGATCTCAAGGCAGCTGGGACCATAGTCACCAAGAAAACAATTAGTAACACACTACGCCGTGAAGGACTGAAATCCTGCAGCACCCGCAAGGTCCCCCTGCTCAAGAAAGCACATATACATCCCCGTCTGAAGTTTGCCAATGAACATCTGAATGATTCAGAGGACAACTGGGTGAAAGAGTTGTGGTCAGATGAGACCAAAATGGAGCTCTTTGGCATCAACTCAACTCGCCGTGTTTGGAGGAGGAGAAATGCTGCCTATGACCCCAAGAACACCATCC